GGCGTTTTTATTCATGGTCCAACAAGCTATTTCACACGTTTACACAGATGTTATTAACATTAAGCACTAATGAGAGTAAAGAAATTGTACCAATTTTTTACACTAAAACTTGAGCGCCTGATAAATGTGCTGACACGTAATAGCTGCCTTGTAGGAATTGGCATCTCGAGCAGCAACACTGTTAAAATTCAAGCCCAATTGGATTTATTATATGAAAACATGCACATTTGTTCTAGCAGATAGAATTTATCTGAGCTACGGCCAAAGTTTCCACTGCCTTTCAAAACTAAACTGTAACAGCAGAGACGCAGGATTTTTTTTGGCTGGTGTTGTGCTGAAAAATGCGATCATACTTTAAAGAGCACGGTTTTAAATGTCGCACCCTTCTGTGGCTGTAATGATTCATGTCTGACCGTGAATCTAAAGGCATAAATAACTTTCTGGCCTATTCTTGAAGAATCAGAGACCTACAAGAGGCTTGAATTAGCAGGAGGAATGCGGTGCACTAGAAGGGATAAAACACCTACAGGTCTGTCTCCACTTGGCCCACATACTGTACTCCTCCACACCACCGCTCCTGCACCATTGCTGCAGGGTTTTACTATCGGCTTCTCCTGGGGATTTGGGAGGAGTGCTGCAGCAGCCGTGTAATAATTGGGACTTTGATGGCTGCAGCACATATGTGAAGGCAGGACTGGACTGAAGGTGTGGTGCAGATTCAGTAAAAACCACCCAGCGCTGTGCTGCATTTACCCCTCACTCATACGCCACACAGGAAGCTAACGCTGAAGCAAATGAGGTATAAAACAACACAACAGAGGATGCATCTGGACACTTGATACTAGGGGAGGCAGAAAGTTCTTCTCTCGGTGTGAAGGGTCAACGTGAGGAGATCCAAGGAGAGAGAAGAGCAGGAGTCCTCGTATGAAAAGGAGTCAGAGGCAAATATGAACGCATCTGTTTTGTGCTGCAGACGTCGGCAGTAAACACACACACAAGGCTGAGTTTACAAGGACTCGGTGTCAGAAAAAAGGTACAAATATATTGATTGGTCTGACAAGATCCCGCTGCAGTAACCAAGTCTAGAAAGGAAATGTGTGTGTGTGTGTGTGTGTGTGTGTGTGTGTGTGTGTGTGTGTGTGCGTGTGTGTGTGTGTGTGTGTGTGTGAGGACAGGAGAACATGCAGCTAATTAATTAAATAATGTGGTTCTGTACCTTTCTCTTCAGCACAGCCGACAAAGGTTTATGATGGGTCAGTCCTCCTGCATGCTCAGATCATTCCCTTCCCTTGCTTGAAAAATTGTTCCAAAATGAAAGTTGAACCCACATCTTTTTTATCTGTCAATTCAATGCCGTTCGGCGAGTCTCAAATAAAAATTTGGGCATCTTACTGTAAAAAAATATACCATTAATGTAAAAAAGAAACTCTAAATAAACCGAGTTCACATCCAGAATCAAACCCAGGTCTTCTGCATGAGAGTCCGACGGTTTACTAGGTGAGCTAAAGCACCGGCCACGTCTTTAGTATCTGTAACATTTATATCCTTGATGACAGCTGAAACAACGTTCAAAGAACGGTTCGGAGCGAAAATGGCTATTTTGTTGCTAATTTGCAGGAAATATCTAGAAGAAACCCATGCTTTCGTTCTTTTTTAAACACAGAAACAGTTTTGTTTACCTGTTATTGTCGCTACAGTTTCGCCGACGGCTGCCGGCTTCTTCAGGCTGACGCTGATGGTGGCGCGTCACTTCCTTCTCCGTTTATCTGCGGGCAGCAGAGGACGTTGTCGCCCTCTACTGCCCGCTCTCCCCTCTCCGACCATGAACAGGGACGACGGAGTTTACACGCTGGACCACGCATGGGACTGCATCGTCGGAGAGGGGAGAGCGGGCAGTAGAGGGCGGCAACGTCCTCTGCTGCCCGCAGATAAACGGAGAAGGAAGTGACGCGCCACCATCAGCGTCAGCCTGAAGAAGCCGGCAGCCGTCGGCGAAACTGTAGCGACAATAACAGGTAAACAAAACTGTTTCTGTGTTTAAAAAAGAACGAAAGCATGGATTTAGAAAGACACAGCAAGAACACTCCTAAGATATCTAGAAGAAAGTTCTACAGAAAGTAGCTAAGGGTCCTCAGAAATGTAGCTAGCTTTGTCACTAGGCGTTAGGAACAGCGACAAAGTGGCACTGCCTCTCTCTCTGCTGCTAAAGCTACGGATAGCAAATGCTACGGGCGATGCCTGAGCGTGAACGCGCATGAAGCAGCCTGCTCGACCCGAGCAGCTCTCTTTTTCTGTGATTTTACAGAAAAACAGGCAATCACAGTAAAAATGCCAGGGCTCATTCTACAGGACCAGGGCATTGCAGGAGAATGTATGAAGAAGACATTTATTATTTCTATACATGTTTTGGCTGTCTAACTTCCATAATGCCCCTTTAAATAAAACTATTTAACTGACTGCAACATTAGTTTTTGAGTCAAATCGTAGAAATATGAGTTCTGAGTTCTGCGTATTTCCCATCTAACGTCCCAAAGTGATCGTTGGCAGAAAAATATTTAACTTCATCTTAATATCTGTATAACTGACTGAGTCATAGCCACATTTATGTGTTGATTAGCTCTTGAGGTCTAAATGCTACTTTATGGGAGGTCTGCTCTAATCCAGATATGTCCAAAGCACCAGTCGCTGCCCTCTCAGTGATTTTGTGACGCCCACAATGTTGATGTACTCTGATCCTCCAGAACCCTGTCCAGCATGTTTTAGTTGTTTTCCTGCTCTGACACATGACTCATTGGCTAGTTTTCTCATCGGCAGGTCATTAAGCTCTGCAGAAGCCTCTTAATCACCTAATGATTAAAAGCAGGTGTGTTGGAGCAGGGAAACAACTAAAGCTGCTGGATACAAGTCCTCAAGTACCAGGGTTGGAGACTCCTGACGTAACTCGACACACATGTTTACATCAAGATTTTTACTAATATATAGCCAATTTTTGAGCTGTATAAACAAAAAATTTACCCAAAATAATATGTTATGTTTTTTTAATTATTAAACAAAAAACTCGATGATTTAGTACCTCATTTTGGCCGCTCTAATCCATCCATATTTTGACAACGGAGAAGAAACGGTGAATTCCAAACGGTAGTGGCAAAGTTTTACACAATGACCTCATTGTGTAGCAAAGACAACGGAATATGTACACAATTGTTTGTTTCCTGAGGTTGCTAGCTGGTGGCCATCGTGAATCAGGTGTATTGATTACTTTTGAGAGTTGTGTTAAAGTTTGAGCGTGTGCAAGTCTGACTGTGTTGTAAATGACTCCCAGCTACATGTGCATCAAATGTGGCCCAACACCTTTAACACCTGACAGTTATAGCCACTTAAGTGTTTGCTTTACTCGGTCAAAAATTACCCAGAATACAACGCGGTATTTTCAAAAGGACGGCAGATCAGAAGCCGGCAGCTACTTCAGGGACAAATATCAAGTTTAAAAGTAAGTCAACTAATTTAAAATGGTTTTTTTATTCAGATCCAAAGAAGTTATCTTGCTTAGTAGTTGCAGCTTTGTTGGCTAGTGGGTAGTAACTCACTTATATTTTTAATTTAACAAACATATACACAATACATAAAGTAAAAGGCTCATTATATATTTATACTGAAACTAATATATATATAATATAGCGTTATCTCCCGTGTCACGTGACATTACGTGACCGCCGTGGAAGCTGCGGTCACGTGATGCAAGTCTGTTCCATTTAACCGAAGGACAGTGTCCTCGTAGGCAAGGAGCCTGGCCTCGCAAGGTCAGGCGCCTTGACATTGAGAAACACGCTAAGTTTCCTCCCTTTCCAGTCGGCTGATGGGTCCCCGGTAGAATGAAAAAATGAACGCAAGTCAACGGGGCTAAAAGAGTTCTTTTCTAATCCACTTTGCCTTACGCCCTGGATCGCACATACGCTGTACTGCAATTCGAATAAAAACATATTGAAGTGTGTTTCGACCAAGCCAGTCACGTACTTTGAGATTTATCAGCTTGTAAAAGTTCATAATTAGCATGACCAACTTAGACCTCGGCACGTTGCATATGTGACGTCACCACATAATCTCCTCTCCCCTAGCCTAGCTGCTACTTACCACATGGCCAGATTTATGGTGGGTTTTCTCCCTCCTGAAGAAAGGATTTGAAGTTTGCTGAACTCAAAACCATTTTCCCAACGTTTTCCCCCGTTCGAAACTAAGCGCGTTTTTGGTATTAAAATGCATTTTTAAAATTCACGGACATCGTATGGGAAATTCGTGGCACATAACAAGCAGAATCAAAAATAGCGGTTTTAGCCCGTTGACGCATTAATTTTTTCATTCTTCCAGGGACCCGTGGTCCGGAGTAGATGGGCGTGACTTAGCCCATATAGCCCTTTATATTTGTTAATGGTACCCGCCATCTTGAATCAGGCGTATTGGTTACTTTTGAGTTGTGTTAAAGTTTGAATGAGTGTAAGATATAAGTGTTGTAAATGGCTCTCAGCTACATGTACAGAAGATTTTAGCTCAACACGTGTAACAGGTGGCGTTACAGCCATTTATGTGTTAGCTAACAGTGATTAGCTGGCGGCCATCTTGAATCAGGCGTATTGGTTACTTATAAGAGTTGTGTTAAAGTTTGAATGAGTGTAAGATATAAGTGTTGTAAATGGCTCTCAGCTACATGTACAGAAGATTTTAGCTCAACATGTGTAACAGGTGGCGTTACAGCCATTTATGTGTTAGCTGACAGTGATTAGCTGGCGGCCATCTTGAATCAGACTGACTTAAACCTCAGGTGTGTTTAACTTGTTTGTCACAGGTCTTTTGGCCAATAATATTTGCAGTCTGGGTTCCAGGTTGCTCCAAATGTTCACCCTCTCCATCAGGAATGTGTTGGAACTGTGTGAAACTGAACTTTTCCTTCTTTTGAGACGCATTCAGACTATTTTCTGACAGGAGGAGGAACTGAAGAGTCTCACCTTTGAGCAGGGGCAGTGGGGTCAGCTCCACCTGGGAGCTCTGGTAGCGGAACTGAGACGAGCTGTGGGACCTCCTCTGCCGCGCTCTACGCATCGACCTCCGCGGGAAGCCGTCCACCTTTTCCGCGGATGGCACCGAGAAGCTGGTGGTCGGAGAGGACGGGCTGGACGGAGGAAGCTTGGTCGTCTCCATGATGGCGTCGATTGCGTGTGCGTAAAAGCGGCGTAATGGGTGGATGGCTGGATGAATGAATCACAGATCAGTTGATGTGTTTGGTGGTGGATGACGAGGAAGAAAGGGGGGGAGAAGGGTGAGAAATAAAGGGGGGCGAGAGATATTTCTGGACGTCCAGTTCCGAGCTGCGCGCCTCGTTTTCTCTAAAGGACCAGAGATGGCAGCTGCTGCGGCATCCCCCAATTCTTCTGGGCTCGGATCTGTTTCTCCTTTTTTACGCACAGATGAAAACCCGCTTGTGTGTCATTCTCAGTGATGCTCAGACAGGCGCGTCTCAGACACACACCTCTGCTGATGTACTGGCGTCACACACGCGCGCGCATACACACTCTTAAGTCATCGGCCTAAATTTGGATGAGGAATTAAAGATGAAATAAATCTTCTGTTTATCCGAGTCCAAATCAAGCACGCTGACTCCGGATCAGTTTATTCTCCTTATAAATAGGATCAGAGTCCGGTCCTGGCGGTGAATGAGGAAATCATAAAATCATCAGTCTGGGCCCACCTTGGCTGCCGCATCACTGTTGTCCTTCTGGGATGTGTTCTTCATTTTTAGATCGTCCTCTCTTTTTAAACTCTAAGCTTGTTTTTCTCAGAGACTGACCATTCCTGCAGCCCTTCGCGCACGCTGCTCCACCTCTTGCCGTCCTCCGACCGTTTCAGGGCGGAGAGACAAACCGTTTCCTCGTGTGCAGGTCCTCCGCCAGCGGCCGACGCACCTCCGAGTCCAGCTCCGTCTCCAGCTCCAAGGGGGGAGACAGGAGGAGAAACACCTGCTGAAGGAAGAGGAGAGAGCCGCAGGGAGGACGCTGAAGGCCGGGGTTATACAAGACACCGACGGGCTGATCCGTTCCGCTCCTATCCTTCTCCTCAGTTCCCGTTATCCGGTTTTCTCACAGCACCTCGGTGAGCTGCGTCAAAAGCGCACACAGCGGACAGAAAGACGGGAAATGTGGCGGTCAGCCTTTCAAAATAAGACAAGCGCTTTCAGGTCCAAATACAGTAATTAGTTTTTTGGTGAGAAATAAAAAGCTCTGGTCATTTGGTTAGGCAAGAACCAGTTCAAGAACAGAAAATGCAGTGTGGATGGCTTTAAGCTTAAATGTAGTGGTTCAGATTCCAGTTTTATTCTAATAAGTTTCAGTGAATTAACAGCTAGAATGTCTCTGAATAGACAAGTGCTGGACATAAAATTAGAATATCGTGACAAAGTTCATTTATTTCAGTAATTCCATACAAAAATTGGAAATTGTTTATTAGATTCAGTCATTACGCACACTGATGTATGTCAAATGTATTTTTTCTCATCATTTTGATGATAACTGACAACTAATGAAAACTCCAAATTCAGTATCTCAGAAAATTAGAATATAGTGAAACGGTTAAATACTGCAACAGTCTAATCAGCTAATTAACTCAAAACACCTGCAAAAGCCTTTAAATGGTCTCAGTTTAGTTCTGTAGGCTACACAATCATGACTGCTGTTTTGACTGTTGTCCAGAAGATGACCACTGACACCTTACACAAGCAGAGCAAGACACAAAATATCATTGCTAAAGAGGCTGGCTGTTCAGAGCTCTGTGTCCAAGTACATTAATAGAGAGGTGAAGGGAAGGACAGGATGTGGTGGAAAAAAGTGTAGAACAATGGGGATAACCGCACCCTGGAGATGATTGTGAAAGAAACCCCATTCATAAATGTGGGGGAGATTCACAAAGAGTGGACTGCAGCTAGAGTCAGTGCTTCAAGAACCACCACGCACAGATGTATGGTTTCAGCTGTTGGGTTTCTTGTGTCAAGCTACTCCTGAACAAGACACAACTTCAGTAGGGTCTCACCTGGGCTAAAGACAAAAAGGACTGGACTTCTGCTGAGTAGTCCAACGTTATTTTCTCTGATGAAAGTAAATTTTGCGTTTCTTTCGAAGACCCATAGTCTGGAGAAAGAGATGAGAAGCACAGAGGTGGTCCAGTGTAAAGTTTTCACAGTCAGTGATGCATGGGGTACAGAGTCATCTGCTGGTGTTGGTCCATTGTGTTTTCTGAGGTCTAAGGTCAACGCAGCCGTCCACCAGGAAGTTTTAGATTACTGTATGCTTCCTGCTGCTCTATGGAGATGCAGATTTCATTTTCCAACAGACTTGGCTCCTGCGCACAGCGCCAAAGCTACCAGTACCTGGTTTAAGGACCGTGGTATCCCTGTTCCTGATTGGCCAGCAAGCTGCCCTGACCTTAACCCCACAGAAAATCTATGAAGTATTGTGAAGAGGAAGATGCAATGGTCCAGACCCAACAGTTCAGAAGAGCTGAAGACCACTTTCAGAGCATCGTGGGCTCTCATAACACCTGAGCAGTGCCACAGACTGATGGACTCCGTGCCACGCTGCAGTAATCCGGACCAAAGGAGCCCCACTGAGTGTTGTACATGCTCATACTTCTCATGTTCTCATCTCTAAAACTCCTTTTATTGCACTGGTCTTTATTGATGATAATATTCTTAGATACAGAATTTGGGATTTTCATTAGTTGTCAGTTATAATCATCAACATTAGATAAATAAACATTTTAAATATATCAGATTCTTTGTAATGAATGAATCTAACGTACAAGTTTCTCTTTTTTAATGGAAATCCTAAAATAAATCAAGTTTGTTGTGATGTTCTAATTTTATGACCAGCACTTGTATAGCCTATCCAGCTAAATCCATACTTGAGCTGAAAATGGTCATATTCTAATGTCTAAACTGAGAATTAAACGCAAGACCAAAAGAAATGTTAAAGCTGCTGCCGGTCATTCATTAAGATCCCCATGGTAATCAGTGCTTCATCAAGGTTACCATGGTAAATACCTGTGGCTTGTTTGTGATGTCACAAAAGTGGACTTGGCATAGAACCCCCTCTCACCAGCGAGCAGCGAGTCTACTCTGAGCCCCTCCCACATATTGGAGCTTATAGCAGCCTGAGTGGGGCATAGGTGGGTGTGGCCAACTCCAGCTTGTTTTCTTATGGTGACAAAACCCTAAAAGACTGGTGGAAGGTACTGAAAAAGTCAAGAATAAAACTGCTGAAATTACTTCATATGAGAGAGATTTTGAGAAAAGAATTTCATGTTTTTGGTATAGACCATGGAACTTATAACAAAATTTAAATAATTCATAATACGTCCCCTTTAAAGGTGTGGTTTACTCGTTTATTCAGTACATTTGCAGTGTTCTGTAGTGTCAATGCCATATGTGTCATTTAAAAAAAAGGCTATAATTTTCCTGTTCTGAGATGCAGAAGTGTGCTGGTGCAGAGCTGGGCTGAAAAAAGCATTATCATTCATGTTGACACACACCTTGCTACTGGCTAGAACACATTCAGCCATGTTGCAAAGTCACTATCACCAACACACCCTCAACTCTCTCTCCTCGCGGCAATTTTTTTTAATTAAAAGCCTTCCTGTGGGCAGGCGCAAGCCAAGAGGGGCGAGACCATGAATGCTTATTTACAGTGTGACATCACAGTTTGAGGATTTTCAAATCCCAGCATTTCACCATCTATTTTCTAGCAGAAGCTAGAGCAGAAGACCGTTGTAGGAGACTATTTTCATGTCCAGCTTGCATGAAAATTGTGATTATAATCAGAAATAATCATTAAAATTGTTTTTTCAGTCAACCATATTTTTAAACTAATTAAAAAACACAAATGTGCATTTTTCCATTTCTTCTTTATTTGTGTGTTAAATAAATATTTACCATTTAAAAACTGATTAAACTTTTCTAATTAAGTCATGAATAAAATCTCTAAATATGATTAAAGTAATTATCAGTTAAATAATTATTTTCACGATTTAACCTTTTATTGCATGACAATAAAAACAAATTAAATGCTATCAACCCGAGATGATGACAAAACCTTGTTTTTTTATTTCGTTGTACTTTTATTTTGATAGCGTGGACAGGAAGTTCCCTTATTTCGCTCTTTTTGTCTTGACAGTTGCTCCTGCGGTGCAAGGAGAGGGAGGAAGGCTCCTCACTGCAGATGACGCTATGGCACTGATTTATTTATTTATTTGCGCTATTTAGGGTAAATGTTTGCGCTGGCGTTGTTTTTATTATTTAATCACCGAAAGCATCATTTGCGCTACCCGCTCCTCTGCTGAAGCTCTCAGTCTGCCGCGTTTCAGCTCCTGAGGAGATATTTCTGCTGACCTCCAGCAGCGTTCTTCTCTGCTTCTGTCTGACTCCCCCTCACCTCCTCCTCCTCCTCCCACCTCCTCTCCTCCATTGCCCCAGTTTTCTCCCCTCCTCCTGAAAAGGTTGCAAGTTGAGGATCAAGCTTCATTCTATTGTTCTTCTGAACGAGACGCATGCGCAGTCAAGTGCATGGTTATTCATTCATCTAGTTTACATTATAAGTCATTCAAAATGACTCATTAGGCCTATTTTAGATGATCTGTCATACAATTCCTTTTGTAGCTTTATTAAATGTTTAAATGACGTTTATTAGCTGATATGGACAATTTAATTCTTCTGGCTAATAAAAGGTCATCGATATATTGGATCACCCATGCACTGTAAACCCCGATAAGTTCAGTCTACTTAAAAAAACCAAGGTAACCCGTTGCCTTAAATTTTTTAAGTAATGAAGAATTAGTTGAATTGATGCAGCGGAGTATGTTCAATGTACTTAAGGCCTTAATGGGATGAAATTAAAGATTTAAGTTGAATATACAAATAACAAAAGTTACATTAACTTAAGATAATTAGTTTAACCAATGCCCCGCCATCCATTTAGTTACCGTAAATCCTCTAATACAGGCCTGTATTCAATTAACGGCCGGGTCTCATGTTTTGGCCGGTGTCGGAGTCGGCGGAGGTGAATAATGGCCGGTATTTTATTGTGGCCGGGTGGAATGTGGTAACAAGCAAGTACGGGGGGGGCGGTTGTGTCATCGTCTCACTTTTGATTTGCCAGTGATAGACCGCGAGGGTAACTTTAACCGTGCGGAGACGGAGAGGAGGCGAAAATTTGATATCAAGTTCAAAGAGAACGTGCTGATTATGCTGCAGAACACTCTGGGGAGCAGTAGCAGGGGTTGTATGAACTAGTCGACTTCACCGCTCTATAGTGACTTGTTATGCCTGTCATCGACTAGTCGCTGTCACGTGATAATGACCGGCAAGATGCAGCCCTCGGAAAAGACAGCAGCCTGCTGTCAGCAGGTGACAAGCTCCTGCGCTCGGGGGGGCAACGCGCTGTGCCAGAGCGTCGGTACTGACACGAGATCGTTCATGTCGGTTCATTTCCTTTAATGCTTTCTGTCTTTTATTTGCGCCTGATGTGTTTCGCTGCTGTGGAGCGGGGCGCATCACCTTGTCCTCCGGTGACGCACCGATCACTGATGCGGCCGCCAAGCAGCGAGCGCTCCGCTGTTTTTGCGGTCGGTAGATCTGCGTCCTGAGTACGGCCACAGTAACATTATCAAATCAGGTGTCGCCACCTCAAAAACTAATTTAACACGCGATCGTTCATGTTGGTTCATTTCCTTTAATGTTTTCTGTCTTTTATTTGCGCCTGATGCATTTCGCTGTGGAGCGGGGCGCATCACCTTGTCCTCCGGTGATGCACCGATCACTGATGCCGCCACCAAGCAGCGAGCACTCCGCTGTTTTAGCGGTCGGTAGATCTTTTAGAACTGCAGTTCAAAGGTAACTCATGAGGTGAATATATATGAACCCAGGTAGCAGTTTCTCTTTAGGATTGAGAGGAGATGCAGGAAGATAATAAAAAGGCAGGACAGAAAAATAGTCAAATAAAAACAAGTTAGTTTTTGTACCTGCTGGTTGCAACAAACAGACACCACTGAAGGTAATCAGAAGTGAGGAACAGAAAAAGAAATAATTATTTTAATGTTTAGAGCAGCAGGAACTCCGAGAGGCTG